CATAGTGGGCAGGCTGCAAGGGTTGCCAGCTCCTGGCTAGCGACATCCAAGCAATTTGCTTTGCAGCTCCAGCACCCGTGGCTGCTAACTGCCCAAACCTGGGGAATCCAGGAGACCTCCAAAGAGCATCAGACTGTTTTAAAAATACTTTATTCTTTAGAAAATACAGCGTTCAGTACAGTGTGCTCTGCTCCCCCCCAGCTTCAACCTCCCCACCGCCTGCTCCACCGAAGTCAAGGCAACGTCGGCACGTTCCTCACTGCAGCAGGAAAGCAGATGGCAGGTTTCACCGACCCCGTTTCCATCTTCCCGGGGAGGTGGGCAGCTCTCGAGCCCTCACTGGTACCCAGCAGCAAGGTGCTCTCTCCCCAAGCCCCCAGTGAAGCCTAACTCACAATGCCAAGCTTGACCCTTGGAGCCAATGATGGCTGGGGAAGGCCCCAGGTGGGGGGCACGCAGGGACCATCACACTTCCCCACATGAGGATTTGGGGTAGTCCATGTGTTTTTTAAGACATAGGGCTGCCCCAGACCAGAGAGCCAGCAGCAAACCCAGGCAGTGATGGTGGGGGCTGGGGCACGTGGAGGGGGGGATGGGGGGGGGGTCCCTCCAGCTCCCATCCTAAACAGGGATGGGGCTGAGTCAGGGCTGTAACAGTTCCCTCCGAGGGGAAAAGACTTATTGGAGGGGTTCAAAAAGGGGATGCAAACATCACCCAAAGGCAGAGTAACCTTTCTCCAGGGCCAGGCTGAGTTCAGGACTCAGGGGGGGACCTTTCACCTCCCATGGGCTGGCTCCCCCACAGCGACAAACTCTTGCCAGCAAAGCCCACCCCAGGGGGAGGGGTCCTGCCCACACCCTGAGGGGGTGCAGGGTTGCCCCAGGCCTCGGGCAGAGGGGCCGTGCACAGCGAGAGGGGGACAAGGGAGCAAAATCAGTGGTCTGGGGGAGCAGGGAAAGAAGCATTTTCTCTTTTCAAACAGGAATCCCCAACACCATCCGTTTCCCTTTGCATAGAGCAGCTTGCAGGCGAGCATGTCCTTCAGTCACCCAGGGGACACCAAGAGCAGCAGCTGTGACCCCAGGGGGGGACAGGAGCAAGGCTGGGGACACAGCCCTGCTGCTCCCATCCTTCGCGGGCGGCCCTGGGCTTGCACAAGGATGCGTGGAAAAGAAACCAACAACCCTGAACCCTCCCCATCGCTCTGCCCCCAGGAGCAACAAGCCATCCTGATGTTTAAAAAAGGAATGAAACAGGAAAGAAGAAAGGGGAAGAAAAAAAAAAAAGAAGGCTGAGATGGAGGGAAAGATCCCCAGGTCAGCAGAGAGGAAGCTGGGAAGCGCCGCAGGGATGCTGTCCATTCACCACCTGGTCCTGCAGGATCTAACTGTCCTCGCCATTCTCACCCGGCCCCTTGATCAGCCGCTTCTGTCCCCGTTTCCCCACGGGCCCCTTGGGCTTGGCGAAGGCCTGCTTGAAGGCATGCTGCTTGGGGTGCACCTCATCGTAAAGGAACTCCGCTGTCAGCTCGGCTCCGTCGTCAATCTCGATCTGCGCCCGGGGGCAGCAAGCAGAGGTTAGCAGCTTCCTGGGATCTTGACACCCACCTTTGGGGCACCCAGCTCCCCCGAGCCCACCAGTGGGGCCGGACCAAGGCTGCAGCACAGTCCCTTGCAGATGTCCAGCATGGGTCTCCACTCCATCACCTCTGGGTGGGCTCACACTTACCTTCTTGGCTATCTCCAGGCAAAACTCCTGCTCCACGGTGTCCAGCAACCGGCTCTTGCAGCTGGAGTAGAGCATACGCTCCTTGATGCTGCATTTATACCCGGGCATGGAGTAGATAAAGACTGCAAGAGAGCAGGGCTTGTGGTGCTGCCTGGGCTCATGGCCAAGAAGCATCAGGCAGCCGCATCCCACCCTGGTCATAGTTTTTCCAGCCCTAAGAGTCACCATCTACTCAGTGACAGAAGGCAAGCCATCCCATCCATCACCCCTCTCCAAACTCTCCTGGTACACCTGCTACACAATGGCTGCACAAGTCCTCCATGGCAGCACCCAGAGAGCCCTGCAGTGTGTGTAGCAGCTTCTTTCGGCACCAAAGGACTTGCCAGCACTCACCGCATGAGGATGGCAAGCAGTCCTCTGCTGACCATCCCCATCCCCATCTCTGCTTGCTCTCCACATGAGCGAGGGTCCAGGGAGAGCAGAGATCAGCACAGGCTCTAACCAGTTGCCCCAGTGCTGGGGCACTCACCGACAGACTCCAGGTAGTCTCCCTCGTGTGAGTGCTTGTACAGGAAGAAATGGTAGCGAGCCGAGTCCTGGGGGATCCTCTTGGGCAGATCGGCAATCTCCGTGGGGCTCGTGTGCACCAGGTCGATGGTCTCCCGCTCCAGATCCAGCTTCTGACAGACAGAGAGAATGGTGGAGTGGATGGGAGTGAGAGGCAGCAGCAAGAGGCATGGGGAGCGGGGTGTGGGGGAGCCATGTGAGGGACCTACCAGCTGGATGTAGTTGATTTTCTTCTGCTTGAGCGCCTGGATGGCTTGCTGAGCATCCAGCTGCAGGGGGAAGGCCAAGCCCTGTAGGGTCTGATGCTTGCTCTCCACGCTGATCTCCGTCTTCACCTGGGGACAGAGATCACTCCCCGTGTCAGGCCAGAGACCGGCAAAGGATGGAGAAGGGAGAGAAAGGAAAACCGGCCAGTGCCTTCTCATACAAGTTGCTGCCTGACACCCGGCTCAGGGACCATGGCATTAAACCACCAAAAGTCAGCTAGGCTTGGGGCGGCGATGCTTGTCACCATACCGCACGCCAAGAGATCACCTGGCCCCAGCCATGCACCCCCACGCCCCCTGCTTCACTCCCAGCAAAGACCAGCTCAAACCCAATGTTTCCCAGTGAGTCTCTGGCAGGGATGCTGTGACCAATGCTGGCATGTGTCCATCTCCGATCATCTCTGACCGCAACTTGCGGGTGATGGGGGAGCCCTGAAATCACAGCACTCAGCTGCATAGGCCCCCACCGGTGGGGAGGGCAAGCCCCTCCTTGATGGGTTAAACTGCAGCAGACAGGCATTCCCTCTGATGCTGGAGCTGAGGAACTGGAGATCCATAGCTCAGAAAGATCCCAGATGCTGTTTTCCCCACAACCCCTGCAAGCAGAGGCTGCTGCCCATACCCCAAGCAAACCCCCTAGTCCAGGAGATTGAACCCCACTCCAGAGAGAAGAGAAAGAGATGGTGGAGACACCACATCGCCCCGGGTGCCTCCATCCAGACACAACAGGAGGGTCCCTGACTGGGACTGGAGGGTGCCGTGAGCCAGCAGCGGGGAAGGGGGGGCACGACGCGGCAGGCACAGCATACCTCCTCGGGGCCAGGGTACTCTACCAGCGATGGGCAGCAGCAACAGCCCCCCACCATCTGCCACAGAATACAGGGAGATGGTGTCACCTCAACGGCAGAGGAACCCATCCCACCTCAAGACCCCCCGCCCCAGGTAAACAGTGCAGCAACGCTAACCCAGGTGCTCTGCAGCAAGCATGGGTCCCTTTCCTTCGTGATCAGTTTATGGAGTTTTGGACAAAGACAGTCAAACCTTCTTTTTTTTTTTTTTTTTTTTCTTTTCCCTCCCCGATAGAGAAAAGGAGGAAAAATCAAGGCATGCCAAGAGAAAAGCAGGAGTTTTAGCTCACATCTCAAAACCAGCTCAGCAGCACCAAAGTGAATCTTGTTACGAGGCTGCCCTTTGTTACAGCAGCCCCCCACGGTACCCACACCCCAGGGAGACGGTTGACCCGGGTGCCCGGAGCAGAGCATGCAGAAAAACACCACCAGGAGAAGGAAAAACCAGGCATCAAGCAGGCAGAGCAGCCTACCATCTCAGCGCTCGAGTCCTGGGAACAGGAATCCTGCGAGCACAGGGAGAGGAGACATACTGTCAACAGCACCCCATGCGGGGACAGAAGGGGGACTCGTGAGAAACGAGAAGGGGTGGGGGACACATGGACATGCCGGGAGGATGGAGGCGTACCATCTCTCTGCTGGAGGCCAGGGAAGGTAGGTCCTGGTGGCTCAGGCAGGGAGAGCAGCAAAATATTATATGGGAGGCATCAGTGCTGGGGAGGAGCAGGAGGGAGAGCCCCAGCCCCAAGCCCTGGCAGCCCTGTACACAGCATCTCTGCTGACATCCCTGTGCAGAGCCCATCCTTGCTGGCTCCCCAGCCAGGGTAGCCCCAAGCCAGAGTCTGGAGGAGTTCCAGCAGTCGCAGCAATAGATTTTGGGTTATCCTCCTATATATAGCATATACTAAAGGTTTGGCAGGAAAAAAATGCCCAAGCCTCTATCCATGCCAAGTATCCTGGAGGATGAACAGGGTATGAACGTGCAGCTCTTGGGAAATAATTGCTCAAGGGTTGTCTGGTGCCAGGTGGGCAAGAGGTCTGGCTGACCTCCAAGCTCTGCTGTCCTGCCATCCCCTGGGGTGTCGTGGCACCAGCAAGGGCCTGAGGGTAAGTGCGCAGGGATTCAGAGGACAAACACATGCTCACCTGGCCCTACCCTGTGGAGGGGTGTGGCACAAGGACATTACCACTGCCAACACCTCCAGATCCTCATGTTTCTCCCCCCATAAATGCAAGGAGGCTGAGAGGGTTGTAACGGGACCAGAGAGACCTCAAGCTGCAACACCAAGCACGCTGAAGTCCAAAAATCCCAAGAGGTGGAATGTTTTCCTAGCAACGTCAACTCCCCCATATACTTCTGTATTTTCCACTCCTTCTCTTTTCAAAAACATTAAAAACTGGCTCACTGAAACACTCCCCAGGGCACAGCCCAGGAGCTGTGCATGGGACAGCTGTGCATGGGACAGCCGAGCATGTGCCGCACCCCGTCACCCCAGCCCCAGCCTTGACGGTAGCAGGCTTGGCTGAGGGGTTATTTTATATTTTCTTTAGGTTATTTTTCCCCCCCCTTCTCTTCCAAGGTGCTGACCTTGGCTAACGAGCATTTCTCTGTCTTATGGTGAAACATTCACGGGGGAGGTTCTGGCGAACTCTCTGCTTTACCCACCCACCAACACTGTGGGACAGCTACAAATGACATCTCCTTACATGCTGCAATGGCACGGTCACCTTTAGTTCCTCTTAATTCTTCTGCCTCATCCCCCAGCTCCAAAGCTGCCTCCTTCTCCCCCACAGCCCCATCCTGTGATACGCCTGGCTCCCCTCTGTGTTTCTGAGTCTGCGATGCTTCTAGAAAGACTTTCCACTTGTGGGTGTCAAGATAGCTCAATGCCAAATTCAAAACCATTTCTTAGCCCAGCTCAGTAAAGCTGGTGATGCATTTTCCAGCTATTGAAAAAAAAAGCAAATAGCAAATCTTTGCAAGCTCCCATCCAGCTATCAAGAAGGGTAGCTCACGACATTGCCTGTGTCCATACAGTCCTCAAACCACAGGGGAATCTTGGCTCATGCAGCCTAAAACCTGCTTTACCAAAGGCTGGGCACCCTCCTGGGGGATGTGCAAACCCGAGTCCTTCTTATCTTGGTGTAAAAGGCCACTGTGCTGGTCCCAAAGCCACTGCCATGCAGCCATCACCTCCCCGCTCCTGCTTTGCTGCTGCCTTTCCCTTCCCACCCCTTCTCTGCACTCGTCTGGTGGTCAAGGAGGATCCCAGGGAGCTTCTGCTGGCCCAGAAATGCAGGCACCTTTGGGGTGAAGACGGCAAACCAGGTTGGCATCTCAGAGGGTCACGCATCAACAGCATTGGAGGAGAGGAGAGCTGCAGCACCAGCAGCATCTCCAGGCGAGGGGCACAGCAAAGCACTAGTGAGCTGGTGGCTTTTAAAGAAATGTCCCTTGTGTCACTTCCAAAATCCTAATGGATTGGTTGAACCCAAGGGGATGCACATGTCCTGAACCACTAGTGGGGGCATGAGCAGATGAGCAGAAGCACTGAGGCCAGGGCTTGCCCAGGGGCTGCTTCCCAGGTCGCTGCCAGCCCTGACTGCTCGCTCCCACACACTGGATCTGCTCCCCCAAATGAAACTGCAACGTGCACACACGTGCAAGGACCCTGCAGCCTGTGCACAACACGCGTGTGCGTGCAACAACCCTGTAGGCAACATGCAAGGCTGGAGGCATTGCTGTGCTGAGCAGGGTGCTAGAGGCTGGGAGCTGCTCTCATATAGCCCCATCTCGATCATAGCCCTCTACTTTGTGTGGCTCCAGAAACTATCTCGAAGCCGCATTTACCGTAGAGTCATGCATTCCCCCGCCCTGGGGAGATAAGTGTGAGTACTGAGCACCCTAGCTGTAGCTCCCAGCATCTCCTGCTCCATGCCCGAGGCTGAGCAGGACAGCCCCTGCACCAACACAGAGACTCTTCAGCACATGGCCACTTCCCACCTTTAAATCCACAGGCAAAAATATATCCATTTTCCTCTCTTTCTAAATGCTGGTGGCTGCTCCCCACAGCCCAGGCTGACACAGGGGACAGCATGCCTTTAAAATAATCCCCAACCAAATGAAACAGCAGCAGCACCTTCACCTGGGAGCTGCATCTTGCAAAGGCAAGGGTGGGAAGCAGAGCACAGCAGACTATAGAATCATGGAATGGTTTGGGTGGGAAGGGACCTTAAAGATCATCTAGTTCCAACCCCCTGCTGTGGGCAGGGACACCTTCCACCAGACCAGGTTGCTCAAAGCCCCATCCAACCTGGCCTTGAACACTGCCATGGAGGGGGCAGCCACAGCATCTCTGAGCAACCTGTTCCAGGGCCTGACCACCCTCACAGTAAAGAATTTCTTCCTAATAGCTAATCTAAATCTACCCTGTTTCAGTTTGAAACCGTTACCCTTTATTGTCAAAATCAACCAGAAAATAAGCACTATGAGCACCACCTACCTGGATACTTGACCCTGCCAGACACAGCTCAAAAAACCCCCCAAAACTACTTAATCCTGCAGCACTGTCCAGCCAAGGCAATCGCACAGACACCAAGCTGCAGAGCCACCATCAGAATCAATCTCTCTCTTCTCCAAGCGTGGGCATCACCTTAGATCCTTCTGCACAAATCCTGCCCAGCCCCTCCAGGCTGGGAGCTGAGATAACCACAGCAAGACTCACACGGTGGTCTCCAGACCACCCCTTGGTGTCATCTCCCAAACGCCCCTCAACTCCATCGCCCCTAGACTTGCTTTGGCAGGAGGTTTCCTCCTGCCTTGTCTTTGCCATTAATTACCACCAACAGGCTGATTGGCTTTGTGTCTCCCACACATGTCCTGAGCCACCTGTGAACACCACAGCTGCAGTACTGGTGGAAGAAAGCTTCTCTAGAGATGAAGGTTTTGACAGCATCCAAGTGAAATCTTCCCACCCCAACAAAATCCTGCTTCCAGGTGGTCTTCCCACCCAGTGAACTAATCTCCTCCCCTGCTTCAGTGCTTCACAGCACCACAAAGGCTGGCATGAGTGCTGTCAGATGCCGGCAGGGAGATGATGGTGTTACAGCCTTGTCTGCCCCCAGCGTTACCCTGTGCCACTTCAACATGTTTTTCCAGCACATAAGCCCCCAAATTTAGGCTAAGATCTGTATTTCTTGGGACAGCATCCCTCATATTTATAGCTACAGAGGAAGAGGAGGGGAAAGCAGACTGCTGCAGCCCAAAGATAAGCCTGAATTCTTCCTGCCTCCCCTGCGAATTCAGACTCAGCTCTGGCTTTTACCCCAATACCTAGAGGTTAGACACTGCTACCTGCTTTCAGCCTCAAACCATCTTCTGACTGCCAATAATAGTGCACAAAATAGAGCTCTGAGCTCTGAGCTCATGTCCTAGCAAAGAGAAAAAAAAAAAAAAAAAGTCTGTAAATCCCTCTTTATGCTGCCAATTTGACCCTGAAGATGCCTGATGCACCTTGGCAAGTGCATGAACAGTGCAAGTGCAGAGGTACAAGACAATCCAGTAAAAACAAGCTACGCCTTTCAGCTGGATCCCACACCTCCAGCAGCAAACACATCCCTGCATCCTGCATCCCTGTGTACCCCGAGGTTCTCGGGCTCCTTTTTCCCGGGCCGGCGGACACCCACCTCGTTGATGCGAATCTGCTGGAGCTCCTGCTCGGCTGCAGTCAGCGGGGCTGGGGCAGAGCAGGAGGACACATGCTTTTGGTAACCGCTCAGGGATACATCCTCCTGCAGACAGAGGGACAGGGATGAGGGGAAGTGTTGTTATCACTGCAGGGCTGGATGCACCCCCAGCCTTGAGGCTGTGTCTGAGCAACCCAGTGGGTCTTGGGCTCCCTCCTTACCAGGAGGATGAACCCAAGCAGCACTCTCAGATGCCTTCATGCAAAACTCACGCTCAATTTTAAACATTGCCCATGACCACCCGTGCCTGTTGAGATGACCCTGTCCCTCCCTGGACACCCATGGCTGTGGCAGTGTGGCTCTTCTGGTTGATTAGCTGGTGAGCAAGAAAGTGAGAGGAAAGGGCAGAGACCATGACCCAGGAGCAGAAGAGAGAAGCACCGGAGCTGGAGGGCAGCCGCTGGAAACTCACGCTCAATTTTAAACATTGCCCATGACCACCCGTGCCTGTTGAGATGACCCTGTCCCTCCCTGGACACCCATGGCTGTGGCAGTGTGGCTCTTCTGGTTGATTAGCTGGTGAGCAAGAAAGTGAGAGGAAAGGGCAGAGACCATGACCCAGGAGCAGAAGAGAGAAGCACCGGAGCTGGAGGGCAGCCGCTGGGGATGCTCCCTGGCTCCCATCGGCACCAGAAGCCCCAGCGGGGATCTGATGCTCGGGAGAGGCCCTGGCTGTGCAGCTCCCTCTGTGAAACGCCCATGGGAGAGAAGGAGAAACCTCCTGCCAAGTGCTGTCGGGAAGTGAAGCAGCAGCTCTGGCTGCTGGAGTGACACTGCCACCGCCTGGTGCTTCTTCTCCCACTCAGAGTAAAGCTCTGGATGCCTACTGAGCCTTCCTCCCACCTCTTCCACAGTCTCCATCACAGACTGACCACAGCCGTGTAGGCAGGAGAAAGTGGCAACTTGCTGTCCCCCCAAACGCCAGCATCCCGCATCCCACTTGGCTTTGGCACCGAGCCCGGGGTAGGCTGTCGGAGCTCAGGGTTGAACCCAAAAGGCTGCCCAGGAGCCACCACCATACCTTCACTGTTCCAAACATCTCGTCCTTTATGTGCCCCCCGCCAAACTCCTTCTTCACCGTTGCTCTGGTAGCAGCATACAGCATCTTCAGCCGGACCTGCATGAGGAGGGAGGTGGCAAGTGTGGTCAGAAAGGAGCACGGCAGGACCAGAGAGCAGCACCTCTGCACAAGGGGTGCCCAACGTTAGTGGCCATTATCCCACCACCAGCTCTGCAAACCTCAGCCTGCCCCGGGAGTCAAGCACCTAATTTCTAGCTCAGGCTGATTTCCAACTGCAGCATCTCTGGGCAGGGAGCAGCCAGGAAAACCCACCAGCACTGTTTCCAGGAACACCCACGCATGGTGCAGCCACAGCAAGCGCTGCCTGTGATCCGTGGGTTTATTCTGTGCTTTGCTTCCCCATCCCCAAGTTCCAATGTGTCATTTCTCACCTGCACCTGGGTAAGAGAAAGTGCAAATACCACCAAAGTCACCTAAAAGGGACTTTCGCCTTTCAGCACTTCTTTTGTATCATTCTTCTGCAAAATGCAGAGAAGAGCTTTGGCAAGTGCTCCTTGGTGCACCATTCTCTTGCGATATGACCCTCCACAGTTTGTTGAGAGATATATATTAAAATTATATACTACTATTATATATATACACACATGTACAAGTACACACATGCATGTGTAAACACATGTACACACACATAAAATTATATAGATGATATAATTTTCTTATAATTGTATATATGTGTGTGAATACATATATATGTGTATATATAATAATATATATTTGCTAGATATATCTCAAACTGCAGGTCTTTTTTATATATGTGCATTATAACATAATAACATATATTTGTTATATATGTATTTTTATATACATGACAAGTGCACATATTAACACGGCAGTAAATCTATAGAGCACACAGATTATATAAAATATATAACAAATATATATATAGGTATGTATGTGTGTATATATCTATATACAATGACAAGTGCACTTATTAACATTGCAGTAAGTCTCAGGTGCACTGAAAGCCCGTTATGGAGGTGCGCTCAACAAGACGGCATTTTCCAGGCTGTACCACCAAAATCCTCTAAACAAGCCTCCCATCCAACCAGCCCTTTTGCGCCACCCTCCAACACCGTCTCTGAGCCCACAAGCCAGCCCAGCAGGAGTCGATGCTGGCCTGGCCACTCACAGCTCCAAGGGAACCAGCCTGCCCGGCCCTTCTAAGGCTGACTTTGGAGCTGGGCCAGCAGCTGCCCTGCGTCAGCCCTCAAGGGGAGCAGTGCCAAGCTGGACACTCGACCAGGCAGTCGGTGCCAGTGCCAGCTCTTCCCAGCAATGCTTTTGGCCAGAGCCACGGTGGGACATCTCCATCCTGGTCCTGTGGTCCATACCGCTCCCCCCTCTACCTCCCAGACCCTCCACCTCCTCACGCAACGCTGCAAAGAGGACAGAGACACAGTCCTGGTGTATCTTACTGTGTCTTAAAAAATTTCCCTATCCCCGAAGCAGTCTTCACTTCTTAACCCAGGCACAGTGATGGAAGGTGTGAATGCTCCTCCCCAGCCTCAGCACAAAGTCAACTTGCCCTGCATCTCCTCCACCCTCCACCTCCCAGAGCACAACCGTGTCCCCACGCTGGGGTGGCACAGCCCAGCGCAGTGCTCACCGGGGAGCTGTCGGGGGACCAGGAGATGAAGATCCACTCGTAGCCCTGGGCATTCTGGCTGTCCAGGCGGTACAGCACATAGCACGGCTGCTGCTCGTCCAGCAAGGGCAGCACAAAGGCATCATAGTCGGCATCCCAGCGCCGGGACAGCTCTTTGTGGGCTCCCAGCACGAGCTGTTCTGGAAGGAGAAGACAAAAAAGGTGGTGTTAGCTGAAGGCAAGGCTTAGCTCACCTTGCAGGACCACAAGTCAGCTCATTTGAGGGCTTGCTGCAGCTCCAGCACCGACAATGATACCATCCTGCAGAAAAAGGTCTCAAACCGTGTGCTGGAGTGTACACCCCCACTGGGGAATGCCATCGGGGCTGCAGCCACTGTGGAAGGGCTGGTTTTCTGCCAGCATCCCACTGCCTCCTGTCCAACCATCTTCTCCCCTCCCATGGTCTCCTCTCTTGTAGCCTCCTTCCACTCTGCTCCCTCCAGCCGTGTAGTCCCCAACCATCTCTCCTTGCTCACAGGGGAACATGAGACATCCTCCATCCCACCTGGACAAGCTCTAGGGGCACTAGAAGAAAGACCTCACAAGGAATCACCTAGATTTGGGGCACTGAGAAAAATAAAGGTTCCATAGCAAAAGCCAGGATGATAAGACCAAGCTGCTCTCAATGGACTCCCTGTAACCTCAGAGGGGTCAAATTCAGAGCTCATACCCGAAGACTGTGCTTGTGGGCACTGGAGATGTCCCAGAGACCCCGGCTTGGGGTGGACCATGCTGCCAGCAGAGCCCCAGCCTCTGGAAGCAATCAACATATTTCACAACAAGTGTTTGCATCTCAAGCGTCTGGAGGGTCTTCTATTCAGCCTACGCAAGTGGCAGTGGGGCTGGGAGCTCCACGAGCTGGGCAGCGCTCGGCTGGGATTTAAACACTGGTGCAGGCATCATATGAACATGAAACCTCCCCATATGAGGGTCAAACCAAGCCTGGGGATGGTTGGATGGAAAAACAATAGCGCTAGAGATGATCAGCATAGGTTGCTGGAAAACAACCTGTATTTTTATTCCATTTTAGATGCAGAAAAGTCTGAGGGGAGATGTCAGGACTCAGAACAAGATATAGGAAAATCATGAGGTGCCAAAGGAAAATGACTTGGGGCCTTGGACAGCTGGCCCTCCAGGGGATGCTCAGCCTGGCACATACACTGCCTCTGGACCTCTGCCCACGGCCCTGCAGCCCATTGGGAGCCAGAAAGCCCCTTGGCTTTGGTTGCTTTTCCAACCCTCTCCCTCCCATCCAGCTCAGCAGCTTTGAATCTCATGGCAGGAAAGCTTTTAAAGAAAATAGTTGAGGAATAAAGGGTTTGGGATTAATTACGCTCACCACTCTTTGCCATCCGAGCAGGGCATTCCCCTCTCCCAACAGTGGCATAGCCCTTCCCTGCCCAGTGCCACCCCACCACAGCATCTGCCACCGCATACTCAACCCAAAATAATTTGCACAAGTGACACACGCTACCAGTACAGCAACAAGGACAGCAGAGAAAAAGGGTGCTGAAGATACTTTACCTTCAGCAAAACTACCTGTTCTGAGAAAGAGAAGCATAAAACCCTCAATGTACCCCTAAAATAAACATAAAGCCCTGAAAATGTATTTGTGCATTGCAAAGACCTGGGATCCTGAAGGGTCTGCAAGGAATTTTGCCCAGCCAAACCCACTGGCAGCTCACTGGTGTCTCCTTCTGCCAAGCGTCCCGACACCTCATGCACAAGGCAATCACTGTGAGTCACTCTAGGTTACTCCCAGGCTGTGTCCAAGCTGGATCCCAGCCATGCTGCTGTGAACTGGCAGCCTCCAGCTTTCCCTTGGGCTGGAGGAGCCACTTCTGCCGCTCTGCTTCTTCCTCTGCCTCCCATCGGGCTCTCTGCAGTTCAGCTCAACCCATGCAGGGCCAAATTTTCCTCCTCAGGAAGCACTGGGAAAGGGAAACCCGGAGCAGCTGCCTTTTGGCAAAACATCATCATCAGCGATGGCTACTACAGGCTCCATTTCTGCTGCTGCTGGAAAAAGGGAGGCTGGGAGCGTTTCTAGCCCTCGAGGCTCCTGCAGAACTCAGCTGCAGGCAGGCTGCCTTGCTCCAAAATGCCCGTACAAGGCAGCCCTGCTTGCAGCTCTGGCAGGCACCATGGGGGGATGGCGCAGGAGCCAGGAGCCTGCAAAACTCCAGGCACGACATCACCTAAGTGCAAAGACACACACCCAACAAAGACCACAAAGCCAACCTTGTCCAAAACCCTGCTGACAGCAAGGAGCAGAGCATCACCTAAAACCGTGCTGGACTACAAGTAGTTCTCATGCCAGGAAAGCATTGCTGAGCCTCAGTACACAACCTGCTCCCCCGCATCTGACCTTGGCTTCTCCAGGCCGGCCCCCAAAGGCAACATCAGCTCAAAGAGCTCCCAAAGGGTCACTCAGCCACAGCTGCTGTCCTGGGGATGCCTGGACACAGAGCATCTGCTGTAAGGCTCCTTGCACCTGCCATTACCTGCTCTGATATGCCCTAAGACTAATGCCCCATAGGGTAGAAGGTCCTCTGCAAACCATCAAGCAGCGCTGGAGGCTCCTCTTCCACATCCACTGTGCAAGGCAGGGCAGCTGGCATATCGTCCCCAGCCAGACTGAGTCCATCTGTGATGTCTATCTGGCCACTCATTACTGCCTGAGGCTCTTTCTCCTTGGGTAGCAGCAGGCTGATGCTTCCTGCGTTACAGAAATGAGTAGTGGTCCAGAGGGACCAGGCAACTTGGGACAAGATGTGTGGGAGGGCAAACAGGAGGTCCCTGAGTCAGGCTTGTGGGACCATCACCACCTTGTCCCCAGCAGACCAAGACCTTTGGTGCAAAGATGTTTCTGGGTCTCCTCCTTCCACCTGCTTCCCCAGGGAAGACTTAGGCTCTGCTGCATCTCAGAGGCTTCTGCAGACACCCAAGCTCTTCCAGAGCTGCACATGCTTAGTCCAGGCCAGGGGAAAGGAGCCATCAGGGTGGGGGAGCCAGACTGGGAAGCACAAAGCACTGTCGAGTGAGGTTGGTCCGTGAAGCAGCTGCTGCCGCCAACTCATTGAACAGATAAATATATCCTGTTCAGCCTGAGTGGAGATGGTGGGATGTGCTTTCCGTTGATGGTAAAAAGCCTCCCTTGCTGGTATCACCAGCCACAACCCAAGGCCAGCAGCACAAGCCCTAGCAACCTAAGTCCAGGCTTAGGGGCACCCATGGCTTATCCTAACGCAAACCTGACTTCCACTTTTTAAATTAAAAAAGAGCCAAGATACCAACATTGTTGTCAAAGATGCTCCAAAGAAACAATGCAGATGTCACATCCCAACACATGGGGACCTCAACAAGGACAAAGGACAACACCAGTGAACCTTGCAGTGGCCCTGCTGATGTGTCCCACATGTTTCAAGTCATGCTGCTCTTCACAGCCCCTCCGAAGGCCAACACGGGCTCCTTATGACCACAGGCTCCTCGCAACCACGTTCACCTTGGCATTTGCAGCGTGGTCCTGGTGGCCCAGCCAAGGGAAGTGGTGCTGCCAGAGCATTAATGTCCCGGCTGCCATGAGAAACAAGTCATTCATATGCAATTGTATGAGGCTGAGGTGATGGAAAACCTACACCATGGAAGCTCCCCGCTGGGATGTTCAATCAGTGCTTTGCTCTGCTTGCTCATTCAGTAGATGTAGAAGCCACCCAAAGGCACCTTTCCATGGGACAAACATGGGCCGACTGAGGCCAGCCTCCAAACTGGGCTAGGGGCAGCCCTGTGCACGGGAGCAGGGGCTGGACTGGGCTGGGTTTCAGAGCTTAGCACCCCTCACGGAATGCAGTCAGGGCCCTGTGCTGAGCCCCGCACCAAGGAGCGCCCCCCTGCCCCGAGCGCTGCCTTGACTGGCATGGGGTGCCACATCCAAGGAGGAAGATGCTGCCCATCTGCCCCAACCAAGGTCCCACGGCACCCACAGCAGCTTTTCACAAGGCTCCCATAATATAATTCAACACAGCAGAAGCAAAAGCCCCCCTGAGCACAGCACCAATCCTCAACACCGGTGTCAGACCACCAGCAAAGTCACTGCTCCCCGCTGGAGCTGCCCCAGAGCTCCAATAGTTGCTCACTAGCACACCCAAATTTTGGACTTGTATTTCAGGTCCAGGGTGCCATGTGCCAGGGAGCCCCAGCAGCATTTTCCTTGGGGTTTACAAAAACATGAGCTGGCACCGCAGCAACAAAGAGGGAAGGAGGAGAGGCAAAACAGAGAACCAACATGGTGTAAATCAAAGCACTTAAAAACGGGACTTACCATCCTCAATGACAACCTTGATGAGCCGAACTGAACCGTTTCGGGCTTTGGCAAAAAAGTCCCTTAATTCCGTGGTGGCTGAAAGAACCAGAAACATTGTGATCAGATTTAGCAGTCAAAGGAGGTGCTGGGCTGCTCGGCAACTGGCCGGGGAGGGGAGCAACTTGGCAGGATACAAATTTTAAAAAGAATAAAAATATCTGGTGCCAAAAAAAAAGGATAATAAAAATAATAATACAAAACCCAAACAGCTGGGAGCAAAGTGCTGCGTCTCCCCAGGCGTCAGAGTTAAATAGCAGCTGGGAGTGCATGTGATCCAGAGAACTTGATACTTGGCCTGGGTGAACATAATCACCCAAATTTAGACGATGGCTTGGCTGGCGCAGGCAGGGAGAGCTCAAGTGACAAGTTTATTCCCTTTACAGAGCAGCACGGTTTCCATACAGGGGGTGGCTGAAAGATGTCTCGACAGGCTGTGATGTCCTGGGCTTGTGACACATGGTGGGGATGCTGCTCCTGAGGTGGCTGGGGACCAGCACAACTCCAAACTGGAGGCACTGGTTTGAAGCTGAATACCTGGAGAAGGCAAAGGCAATAGCCCCAGTGTTTTGCTCCAGAGCCACTAGTGCTTTTGTTGCAGAAGGCTTTTGGGAAACATTCCCCCTCCCTGAGCACCAGGCACCAGCAACTGGTCTTCAGCTACCAGGTTGCCAATCCTACCAGGAGGCAGCAGCAGGCAGTGGATGTTGAAGTGCAGCCCACAGCTGGTGTTGGAGACTTAATCTGCCCACCCCAAAAGCATCACCAGTGCAGAGCTCCCCATCCCAACTGGGACATGCTATGTGCAAAGGCAACGCCCAAGAGATGAGGCTTGGAGGGGCTGAGCCCCCCAACAAGGAGCATCTCCCAGCTCAGAGAGAGCCCAGCATCTCCTAGCTTGGGTCCCACTGAAAGCCCCTTCAATTACATGCCCAAGCTCCTTCCTGGATGTGGCCACACAGCCAAGGTGGTGCTGTGAGTTCAAAGCTGCATGCAGCTCTGTGCTTGCTAGAAATACTAAAGAAACAGGCAATGCAAAGATTAGAGACCCAGGCAGACACCCCTTAGTCCACACCAAGAGCCATGCCAGGAGCTGCTGTCAGCAGCCCCCTGCTCCCGGCGCTTTGCCGTGCCGCCTGCCCATTACTGATCACCACATCGGAGCAGCCCACAGCAGGAAGGAGCCCTGCTTCGGTCCCTGGAGCCTGAGAGTATCCACAGTCAAGGCACTTTGCAGAGAAAGCCATCCCTACATCAGCCAGAAAGGTGCAGTGGCTGGACAAGCTACTCCCTGCTGGCAAAGGCCATATCCATTCCGCTTCAGTCCCACCAGCAGCAGGTACCGCCCTTCGGTGCAGCGCCCCAGCTTCACCACGGGAGAAGCCTTGACATTACCCATCGCCATGCCAGTGCCCTCTGTCTTTTGGAGGCAGACCCTGGGCTGGGGCACTGCCTGCAGCTCCCCCAGCCCTGAAGGAGAAGGAACAGGCGTGGATTTCTCCCCACGCACAAACACTGATGATGATACAGGCAGAGGTGGACAGGGATGTCCTGAGGAATCCCCCAGGGAGCTCCTGCCTGTCCCTCCCAAGTGATACATCTGAGACGCATCTGCCCCACCAGCTCAAAGCCTGTCCCGATCAGAGGTCCGCATGGCTTCCCCTTCCATGGAAAGAAAAGGCACAAATGAGAAAGTGCTCCCAGGCTGGTACCCAGCAAACAGCAGCGCTCCCAGACAAATCCAGAGATGCCACCCCAGTAGGATACCACGGGCACACAGACACCCCAGCAAAGGCACATCAGTCCCTAGCGGCATTTTAGGGGACACACAGAAGGTTTGCTGGTGTAATCCCACCACAAGCAAACCATCCTTCTCTCTCCATCAGCATTGAGGCATGTCGCTCTCCCAGTGAAGACCTTCACCCTCTCCCAGCGGCGAGCTCAGCCATTCCCACCCAAAGATGCTCTGATATTTTTAGCCCTTTCCCTGTTGAAAGTGGCTGTTTCCTTCCGGCAGCATCTGTGGTTATTGCAAACACAGGCAGCGGAAGAGAAAAAAAAAAGAGACATTTATACACCCAGGAAACTTCATGTAGGAGACAAAAGCTCCTAATAAGCATTAAGCTTCTCTAATTCCTATTGCACTGCCAAAATAGGAAAGAATAATGTTGGTCTTGGATGTTTCTACAGCATCAGCTATGGGGGAGAAAGTGGAAAGCTCTGCAGCGCTAACTAGCTCACAAATTCGTCTGGCATGACCCTGTCCTTCCCAGAGCCCAAGCGTGTGCAGGCATCTGGAAAATCAGGAGCCTGGGCAAATGCAACCCCCCAGGCCACCCAGAAATGCTAGGAGTGCCCAGAAGTATTGGATGAACAGTTGAGATCACAGAATCACAGAATGGTAGGAGTTGGAAGGGACCTCTGGAGATGATTGACAGTTGAGTGATTGACAAGTGATGGCCAAGCACTGGGATCTGTGTACGTACAGAGGGGTTTAAGCAGACAGGGAAAATCACAGATGCTGCTGGAGGAGCTGAGAGCATGATGGGAAATACCACAAGGTCTGCCAAGGAGGGAGATGCTTTCCAGAGGAGATAGCAGCAAAGCTTTCAAAAAAACCTCAGAGTGGGCTTCCAAGCTTTAATTCTGCTGAAATTAAAAAAAAAAAAAAATTAAACCCAGAACACTGAACAGTTTTCATTCAAATAAAAAAATCCCCAGGTGTCTTCAATGTCCCCTTCTGTCTCTCATGATGCAAGCCAAGAGCTAGCAAGGAGGGAGAAGAATAAGCTAGCAAAGGTTTTCAGCACAAGCTCAGCAACTTTCATTACAGCATGATTACGACTTAATTGGCACAGCAGACTTGATGAGATGGCTCGCATGCCTGAAATATTAATATAATATAAAAGTCTACAGCCAGCTCTGGAAGAAAGGCAGGGAGAAGACCTTACCCTGGAGGTGGAGGCGAGGGGTACCTCTGTCCCGAGGCATTTCCCTGCTGGAAAGTCTCCACAACCCAACTCAAGGGCTGAAAAACCCACGTGTGGGGAAACCACAAAAATCAGGGAAAGGGAGGAGTGACGGGGCAGGGGACTGAAGAGGGACCCGCACGTCCAACTCAGCCTCTAGACATGGGTTCCTGGAAAATCCTGGAACAAATAATCCAGAAACAAACCCAAGCTAGGCTACAGCCAGCGGGAATCTACTGAGAGCAAGTTGCATGAGATCAACCTAGTGTCCTCCAGCAGAGCCACAAACCTGTGGGCTTTAGGGGTGTCAGATCACTTTTTAAGTATCTCCAAGTGTTGGTAGCCAGCTTGGGAAACATGGTGGTGGTTAACTTCTACAGCACAGGCACAAAACTGCATGGGTAACTCACTCTGGGAGGTATCAGAGGCTGGATTGAGCAAGGTCTCCTGGAGACCTGTGATGGGTCCAGCTTCAGTCCACATTCCCATGAACACAATAGTGCTTCCTGCAGCTGTGAGGTGGGAAGCTAGAGGAGATGCAAGCACACACTGAAGAATTCACCTTTCTCTCAGGGGACTGGAGAAATGGGCTGGGAAAAAAAAGAAATAGGATGAAACTCAATAGGTAGCAAAGTACCATAAATAGGAGAAGGACCAGCTACACCAATGCAGGGCACGGTCCAGCAGCTTCAGAGAAGAAAGGCGGGCCACAAGCCAAGTTCAGGTTAATCGCTTCATGTTGTTGCAGGCAAAGTCATTCGTGAAGGCACAAACAAGAGCATGACCACGTTATTCAGTGCTGACAAGGCTGCAGGCATAGCACGAAAAGCATGTCCAGGCTCAGCACAGTGCAAGGAGCAAGGCACAGGACAGACAGCACCTATGCCAGAAGGCGCAGTGTGCAGGAGCAACAGAAGGAACCAGGGCTGGTCAGCCCACAGGAGAGAAGAAAAACGATGAACAACTTGTACGGGTTTTCCAGCTAGAAACGTCAGGTCCCCACATCAGTATTTTGGAAGTCTTGCGATGAGGGTGACCAAACCTCCTGAAGGACACCATGCCTCCATCCCTGCCTGAAAAAACTCTAGAAACCCTCCCAGGATGCTGCTGCTTTGAGGCAGCGTGAGCTTGGCAAGATCTTGAGGAACCTTCCAGCCTTCTGACAAGGCAGTCCTGCCATCGACCCTTCTGGCAGACAGGAGCACCCATGCCTCCTCAGCCATCCTCCCATGACAGCCCAAAAATTGCCTCCAGTCACTGAGTCATGCAGCATCTCCCTCTCCCACCTATTCACAGGCTGCAGATGAGTTGTCCCCTATTCATGAGCCATCTGCATTTAGCAGTATGCTTACAGCATGTCCCAGGTCCCCCTGAATCACAAAACCTCCCTGCCCAGTGGCACCTGCCATTAGGGATGGAGGGCTGAGCAGACCCAGCCCTCAGCACCAGGGCACCCAGGCTGGGTAGCTCGTGGCATGGCAGGGAGGTGACTGTTTGGCCAGCGGTGGCCTTCAGGTGGCCCTGACCATGCAGACAAGCTGCCAAAGTCGAGCTGCTCACGAAGGGAAGGCACGGTGGCACCTCCCCTCTCAGCGGCACAGAGCAGGCGTGGATCAAAGGCCGAAGACCTCACACCTCAGGGGCCAGTGGGGCAGCCAGATCCTTGCACCTACTGAACGGACATACTTTGCAGCCAAAGCAGGTGGCTGCCCTGCGCTGGGATGCAGCCATTTGGATCGGTCCCTGGGAGATTCCAGTGCCAGGGCTGAAGCATCACACTTGCCTGAAAATGCTGTGAGATAGAGCAGCGAGATGGTACTTGTGGGTACCACCTCGCCACAAAAGCTGCTCCCAAAGCTGAGCCTTTTTTTGATGTTCACAGCCCCAATTAGCTTATCTGAGCAGAGCCAGGTTGTCACAAGGCCGCAGGGAGAGAGAGACACCACGCAGTGATGACAGCTGTAGCCACAGCAACGGGACAGTCTCTCCCTGGGGATGCCAAGGGTGCCAGCGGAGCTTCCTGCGCAACCCTTGGGGGAAGCACCGCGGGGATGGGGATGGAGGCGACAGCCACAACGCCTCCCCTGCATCTTTCCCTCCTCCTTCCTCTCGCTCACTTGTTGGGGGAGCAACAGGTTTTTGCTCTTATTCGACCCTTCCCAGTCCCACCAGCATCCCGATGACAGCACCCAGCTCCCAGATCAATAATACATGCTCCCTGAAACA